CCCCAAAACCCCAAAACCCCAAAACCCCAGGAGATTGATTATTCAACATTTTGGTATAAAAATTAGGTTTTTATAAACTTCGTGACCTTTATTTAATTAAATTCATATAAACAGTCTTATGAAATCCTCAGCACAGTAATAATTTTAATTTCATTTAAGTCAGGGGAATCAGCTTTTTCATTCAAAATTTTTAATGATATTTTCAGAGCTCATTCTATGTTCTTCTTATTGTCTTAAATTGATGGTGCTAAGAGTTTTCTAATTTAGCTGGTCATAGTATGACTTCAGCAATTCGTCATGAGAAAGATATCTGTTTATGGTTATAGAGGACAAATACTTGAATGGATATTCAAAGAGAATGTATACTATAAAGCAGACTATTGTTAGAGCTGCTTAATTCCCCATTCCAATATAAATGACTCCAAAGAATCTAAGTTAGATGGCATCATCTTAACATAGTAATGATAAGTTTACAACTAATGGGCAGAGTAATGCACCTGCATAGGTTATCTTCCCAAGAGCTCTTACTAAATCATTGTTTAGAAGTTATCTTTGCTTTTCAAAGTGTCCTAATATCAAAGCTAAGTAAATCATTATATTTCCAAAAATAAAGGCTGGCCTATTAAATGCCATGTATATTGCATTTTCATCCCTACTCCATGTGTAAGAATTTTTTATTGCTTCATAACCATTAAAAGATATAAAAACAGCCAGCATCAATCCAAAGCCAAATAAACATTTCCCGAAAAGTTATGATTTTACCATGAAATTTATCTTCCTGTAATGATTCTTTTTTACTTCATCAGAAGCTCTTCTATATTTCAATACTTCTATATAGAATATTCCAAACATTACCCCAGAACAATGAAATGGAAATTTGACATAAGGTTTATTGAAAAGTGTACTGAATAAATGAAAATTTTCTAAAGCAAAAGAACCAGCCTTGAGGTTATATTCGTATGTTTATTGCATGCAAATACCTACACTCATCATCATCAGTAAGGACATAAATATGATGCTAACTTTCTTTGATTTCCTATATATAGCAAGATAAACAGGAATTAAGACAAACATCTGCACATCTCCTTGAATAAACCAAGACCAATACATACAGCCCATAGTAGCCTCACCATAAAATGGGTAATAATTCCCAATAAAAAGTAGTTAAGTCCACCAATACCTGTCACAAGCAAAGTATAATCGCTTTTAATGAGCCCAGAGTGGACCCTCAAAAAATCTCGATGTCATTGCCCAGCCAAAAAATAATGTCAAATAATACATAGGGATGAGTCTTACTAATTTTCTTCCAATAAGTTTCATACTATCTTTAAAAGTGAAGTACCCACCTCTTGCCTCTTAGACTTGTAATAGTCTATAGGTACCCAGAAATGCAGAAAAAAATAAGAAAATTTCCATTGGATTAGATCCGTTTATGATTACAGTAAAGAAGAAATTGGAGAGGTAACTCATAATTCTCCAGAGGTTAATGGAGGGACCACAAAACATATAGAAAGAGGAAGCAACCATCTATATATGTGTATAAGATAGGAATTTGAAATATTCTAGCATGTCTAATTCCTCATGATCCCATTCTCTTCTTCGTGTTCTCTTTAAGTCCTCAAATGCACTGATCCAAGAGAATTGTTAGATTCCTTCTTTAATCATCTCAAATGTGCTTATCTTGTCTATGATGATATTTCCGCTAATTTCTATGGTGTCTTTTGTGCTTTTTGTTTTTGGTCCTAGTGTTTAATCAAATCCATATTCATTCTCAGTTTATTGATATTTCTAAGGAGTTTAATAGACTTGTTCATAATTAGCAATATTAATAGATTTTAAATTAATTGCTTCTTGATAGTTATTTATCTTTTTTACTTAGATCTATTCTTTGTTTTTCTTAATAAAAATTGAGCCCGGTTCTATCATTGTACTAACCTTTGCCATTCTATCTACATTAGCATCAACATTACCGCATTCCTAATACTTTACTTCTGAGTGAAAAGATTGGATATAAAAGGCTTCATCTTCAAGTTTATTATTTTAATTATAGATTGATTTTAAGTTCATTTCGCCATTGCTTTCTTTATTATAATTCTAAGTTTCACCAATCTTAATCGATTTAGAGTGATGAATTGATTCTTGTATTTTTGAAAATGAATGTATAAGGCAAGGTATGATGCTGAACAGTAGTAAAAATAGAATCAGGAATATTATGCAGGAATAAAATCCAATTAAGGTCTCTTCTTTCCAATCTTCAATCTCTTCTTTGGTCTTAGCAATATTCATTTCAACTCTAGTCCAGTTTTTTATAACATCGCTTTCAACAAGAGTTGTTTCTTATATTTTCAAGTAAGTCCTTGTAAATAAATTGTTAAAACCCCTCTTAAAGATATCATATTCATCTTGAGTGCATTCTTTAGGCATGCAGGCTCCTAGATAAATAGTTAAGGGAAGATGCGAAACATTAAACGAAAGGAGAGTAAAATCTGTTTTATTCTCAATATTGTATTGACATTCATGATAATCTCCTAGCTAATTCACATTTTGTCCTGAGTACATAAACATCTGATCATATGGAAAGCTTCTAAAGTTAATTAAATATTCGCTTAATTTGAGATGGCATTGACTCTGTTATGAGTTTTTCAATGAGGGATATTTTCTGTATAACTCTTATTTATCTGTTCTACCACATTCAACAAAGCTGATGTGATGAAATATAATGAGAGATAGCAAGATGATCAAAGTATTTTTAATGTATATCAGTTATCTGTTGCTTTTCAACTTCTTTGGTGTGAGTATTATCATTTGTTTCTTTGTAGAAATGATTAAGTATTTATAAAGTTTAAGCAATTTAATAGTAATTAGAATGAATTGAATATAAAAGTCTATACCACTTTTTATAATCTATTATCATTTATTATTAATTAGCAATTTAATAGCCTCTTCCAATTTTTAATCATAAGGGGTTTTGGGGTTTTGGGG